AAATTATTCTAAAGTTGGTTCTCCATTAATTCGAAGATATGTATCATATATTAAAAGTAGCATAATATTTTGGGACAGTTACTGATATATCGTCTGCAGGATTCAAACTTTTAAACGGCTTTTATAACAACTAACCCCTTTCCGAAAACAAAATAAGTAAGATCTGAAGAAATAAGATGTATAAGATAAAGGCCAAAAGCTCTCTATTATAGTGTTAACCATAAACGGAATGTGTGGTGGCACTCAGTAGAATTATTTCTGTTTTTTTATTTTATTTGTTACTGTTGATATGACATACTACTCTTGCCTGCATTTATGTGTTTTAAGGTGGTGATGAATTCTTAACAAGCTAGCATTGACTGATAATTTGTTTATTGCTACTCGTGGCTTAGTTCTGAAATCTTCTAATAATGATTCGATAGTAGTTTTTATTTAAATATATCAATTTATAATAGCTCAACTGCTTAACACAAAAACGATAATTTTCCTCCAATTAATAAGGTTTTTGAACTCAGGGGGTATTTCAAGGAAAGGCGAGATAATCCGAGTAGGCTCAGCTAGGTGGATGATGCAATCTCATCTTCAGTTGTATTAGCGAGAAGTGTTATTGCGATTTATCTTTTTAATCCTTTTCGCTTGCTTAATAGGTGTAATTAACAGGATGTATATTATTATTATTATTATTATTATTATTAAAAATCGCGCTTATGTATTGATTGTAATTACAGATGAAACTTAGGAAAAATGTTTTTAATTATTTTTTGTTTTCGATGGATACTTAAATAAAATTTATTTTACTAATATTTAACATTAATTCAGAAGAATTATTGAATTGGAATTCTATACATGTTTTCAGAGATGAACATATACTTCAAATTGTCAGTTTTAGTGTTGCCCAAATGCGAGACCGAGACGAGTCTTGGTCTTGCAAACTCAGTCTTGGTCATGGTCTTGATCTTACGCAAGAATCTCGCTACAGTCTTGCAATTACTAATTAGCTTATTACTATAGAGATATTATTGCCATTTTTTAGATAGGAGAAACCTAACTAAGCCCGAATGAAAAATTAGCGGTGTTAAATGCAATAGTATATTGGTTATACCAATTATTAACATATAGTAACTAAGATTGTCTAAATTACTATTTTGCCTACATTTTTATTAAAAAAGTCAATTTTTTTTACCAGTCCTGGTCTTGGTCTTGCAACAGTTATGATTTTGGCAATCTTGGAGAAATCGAGAAATTCTATCCATCCTAAGGATAGATAATTAATATACTAAACATATCTTGATAGATTGATAGGGAAATTGACATCTACGAATATTTAAACTTGGTGTAGTTGTCTAACCAAATCCAGGAATTGGATATTGACAGGCACCGATACATAAGACACAATCTAAAGTGTAGTAAAAGACTGTTACACCAAGTTTAATTATTAGTAGATGTCAAATTTCCCTATCAGTCTGTCAAGATGTTTAAATAGATATGGAAGTACATTCCCTTAGGGTGGATAGAATTTATCAATTTTTGTAGTCGGTATTTTTTTTTTTAATTCAAATTGTTTTTATTTATGACGAATCTTGGATTATGTTACTATTTGATCCTTTATAGAAAGATACTGTTTACTGAAATAGCGTTTAGCAACAAGTATATTTCTGGAAGACATCGAACCTTTTAAAAACACTCGGTTTTTTTTCTAAAAAATATTCTGTCTGGAATTGTGTTTACTGCTGATTTCTACTTATGAATTAAAATTTTCGAACCATCCAATTTTTTCAAAATTGATTTCGAAATAGATAATCTTCTGTCGAGCACTACTGGCTCGTGCTTACACATAATCTATTATGTTATAAAATTATTAATAGTTAATCATTTATAAATAATGTAACCAATAATTAATCGATCGTTATTGTATTCGCTCTTATATGAGCCTTTCAGTTGACAGAATGACTATTTGTATAAATAGATGAATATTTCTTTGGAAGAATTTTTTGATAATATAAAAAAAATATATTTTATATTTATAAACCATAAATTTAACATTTTGTTTTTTAGAATTGTTGGATTATTTTATAATTATATCTTTCTGCGGGGATGCAAGTGGCCGAAGTGACTACCGTTAATATGTGCCTAGACCCTAGGGTAAAATAAAATAAAATTTTAAACAAATAATTTATGATTTTTACATTAAAAAAGCTGTTTTTTATAACCCTTTTCGAAAATATAGAAGTTAAGATATTTTAAATCTCAAAACTCCATCAGAGGCATCCTCTTCGGAGGAATAATATTTATTTCTATACTACTTGAATTATTAAATCATATTTAAGTAAAGTAAAAATTATATTTAAGTATCACCTTCGGTGATTTTAAAGTTCGTATGAGTAAATATATAAATAAAACATCAAGGGGGATTATAAATGTTATAAAAATATATATTAATAAATAATAGTTTCGACTATTAAATAATTAATTTCAATTAAATGACTCATAAATACGTCTACTTTGATCTTTTATCTGGCATACATCGTAATGTTTTAATGCTGTTTTTACATTACATAAATATTGAGTTGTGAAATAAATATCAAAGCTATAGACGGACATTGCCTTGGATGCAAGAACTGTCTAACCACTCAATCAATAAGCACGACACGCTACTGACTGGAACGACGTCCAACGAGAAAATCAATATATTCTTCATACCAACAATATCCTTCCAAAGATAGTATGCGTGGCGATAAGTTCAGAGCAGGAGATATCCTTGAGCGTGGGCAACGAGGAATTGTAAACGCAGCGAGATTTGTCCTGATAGCACCAACCTACACGAGTAAAGGAAGAAGCTTTGGTCTCCGTCAATAAAAAAAAAACCTTATTGTTTTTAAGTTGGAAGGTGTTAAAAGCGGCTCAAAGAAATGTTCACTTTCCATCCATAGTTCTAAATACGTAGTGTCCATGTCTAAAATAATTGTTTCGTCAATTTATATGTCCATAACATAATCCAAAATAATTTAAATATATTGTGATTATTATTATTCATTTTATTATAAAGCTACTTACCACCCTTCCATTTTGTTTTAGTTGGGACAAAGCCTCATTTAGTCTCAATAACAGTTACAAACAATAAAAATGCCATTCTTAAGCCCACTTTACCCAGTAGATACATTTTTGGTTAACTGAGCCAGGATTGCCAAATTGAAATTTTACCACTAGATTTTAGATTTTTTTTAGGGTGCACAAGTTTTGGATGATTTTCTTTATTGTGAAATTTTTTTGAAGTTTTTTAGGTTATCTTTTATTTTATTTTCACATGTCAAAGTATCCTTTATTGTTTCATCACATTCCTACGTCCTAGTACTGAGACTTAATTGAAATATTCAATAAATAAAGCTATTAAAAGTTAGTGATCTGGGCCATGTATAAAATAAGTTAAAATTAAGACTTTGCTTAACTCATGTTAATTGTTTAATTTTTTTTTAATGTGCTCTCTGGCATTGTCTGCCCTTATGCAGAATCTAGTAGACCTAGACGTTATTCCGGTTTTGTAAATGGGGAACGCTTTGAACTATAAATTTGATCTCTTTTTTATTATTAAATGTTTAATTATTATTTAACTGTTTTAAGTTTGATTATAATAATTAATTTGGTGTATTTTTTCAATAGGTATTTTAAAACTATAGTCAGGCCTGGCTCAGTTCGAAGTGGGTCCTCCATATCAGGACAATATATATAAGTGGTTTCTATTGATTAAAATTTGTAATAAATTTACCCAAAACAATTATTTTTGGATTCCAACGTACAACAATACTAGATAAATACAAAATACCGATTTACGGGGCCCTCAGAGATGGCTCCCCAATTTTTCTATGACAGAAAAAAAGATCAAAACATTTATGTAGGGACTCCATCAGAGGTTCCTAAAAAATTTGCAGAAATAAACGAATACAAAACAATTCATTTTGGAGCCTAATGTACAACGGCACTTGATAAATTTAAAACAATGATCTTTTTGGGGCCCTCAGAGGAGGTCCCCTAATCAATCAATAAAAAATTACTAAACATTTATGTTGGGGATCCTTTAGAGGTACCCAAAAAATTTGTGGAAATCTTTGCTGATTCTTTTGTTTTTGTACATCTGTAAATCATCTATACATTTTTTGTTTGATATATCCTTAGTAAGATAGTCAAATTAAAAATTTTATTTTAAGGAAATTGTGACATGATTTTTTTAACATCGCAACTTCTCAAGGTTAAATTTAAAATTAACAAACCTAACTGATGAAGTTCTGTACCACTCAAATTTGTGATTTTTTTGTTTTAATTAGATAAAACAAATGTCTCAAAACCTTTTTTTTCGCAAAAATCAGTGAATGAATTCATGGAATTTAATGGAAGAACAAAATCAAATTGTAAAACGTTCATTAAATAAATGTTAACGAAATATATACATATTGTTTTATTACTTGAAACTTTGGAATAATAATTACTTTATTTTATTTATGTAGAACTTTCATATAAGAAATCATTAAAAATAAACATATGCTTTGATATATTTTAAAAAAAATAGAAACATTCTTTAAAAAAGAAATTTATTATTTATTATTTATTAGTTGTACATATTTGTGGCTCACAATAAATTTGCCATCTACCTTAGTATTCAGCAAATATGATATCAAGGAGAAGAATAAAAAAGAAATAAGATTTTTAAAAAAGTAATTAAATGTCTGCAGAATTGACAATTATTTATGAAAACAGATACTTTAATAGTGATAGACCAATGTTTTATTGTACTTAAGATCATAATTGTGAAATGATGATATACTAACTGTTTTTGTACCAATACCAATCTCTCATTGAGTGATCAATTGTTTTAGTTAACTGAAAATATTAATTTCATTTCACTCTTGTGATGTTTAGTATAAGTGTGAAATTTAAAGTGTAACTATCGTTCCTATAATAGTTGCTAAAATTAAAATAAAATTTTAATTTTTTGTTTTTCTTTGTAGCGTATTGTCCATTCAACAAGGTCTGGGGCAGCTCGACACTGGAAGCCATGTGACAGTGGAGAGTACTGATAGTGGAGGATGGGTGGATGGTCTTCTTGGCTGCTTACGCCCTGTCTTACGGGGCTTCATTGACAAAGCCACATCCAATGCTGAAATCAAAGCTTCACAACAAGGTATTGTACAAATAATAGATCATGTAAATTTATGCGAACAATAATATCAAATCTACTTTTCACCATCTTATATTTATGAATTACGAACAATGAAAACAGTGGTACTGCTTTGGTTTTTATTTTGATAATTTATTAAAATTGTTAGTTCCTATTGTTACTTTGGATGTGAACATAACTTTTTATTGTTCACTTAATGCATATGTTTCTCTATTTTTTTATTTTATTTGCTTTTATTGTTTATACATTATATTTACCATCTGTAATGGGAATCCTGCTGGTCGGGATCTTTTAAATTAAAGTAAATGAATTTAATAGTTTTATTTATTAATTTTATTTTGTAGTAATTAATTCTAAACTGTATGTAACTTTGGCCCAAATATAACTTTAAAATTTTCATTTGATAGAAATTAATAATTTCTCTTAAATTTTAATGATACTTTATCACTTTATTATAGTTACTATTAATTTTATTTAACATGTAGATGACTGGATCATACCTTTTGAAAGCATTAGTGACCTCCAGTGGCTTGGATCAGGAGCCCAAGGTGCAGTTTTTAGTGGACGCTTAAATAATGAAATTGTTGCTGTGAAGAAAGTCAGAGAGCAAAAAGAGACTGATGTTAGACATCTAAGGAAACTTAACCATCCTAATATAGTGAAGTTTAAGTAAGAATTTTTTCAATTTAGTTACATTCCTAGGCAATTTAATCAGTCAGTAATAAGTTTTATTCAAAGTTAGATGATTATTTTTGTCATTGATTATCTGAAGAATGCCAAACAAACCATCCAGGAACTAATCCATTGATGATTTCATTCATGAAAATAGGATTAACGGTAGTCGGTAGTTTGCCTGTCATGTCAATTTGACAACAGACTGGTTTATCATTTTTGCTCACAATTGCTTTTATTTCTATATACCAGGCCGACAAGATGAAGGGCAGCCAAGCTGCAGCTCCCGACTCCGAGCAAATTTTTCCTATTAGAGACCAATGCCTGCATTATTCGTCTAGATTTAAAAAAAAAAAGATATAATGAAAACAAATATTTCTGAACATTTATTATTGTCATTCTATATCAACAAAACAATTGTAATATTGTACATTTCTTAAAATTTATTTATTAATGTTTGATGAAACTAATACATGATTCATTTACTATTTTAAAATAATTTTGATCAATCATCTTTATTATTTTATAGCTACTTTATTCTGTTATTTTAAAAATGTATATATATTTTTTTATTTCTTGTTATAGAGGTGTTTGTACACAAGCTCCATGTTATTGTATAATAATGGAATTCTGTCCTTATGGGCCTTTATATAATCTTCTGAAAGCAGGAGAGGAAATATCTCCTGTTAGACTTGTATCGTGGACTAAGCAGATCGCATCTGGAATGCAATATCTGCATTCCAACAAAATTATTCACAGGGATCTTAAAAGTCCTAAGTAAGTCATTTAAATACGTAAATCAATTTATTTGTCTATAGTTAAAAATATTTAGTACAATTCATGTTGAATGTATACATTTTAAAAATTAAAAACTAAGATAGGATAGTCATTCAGTTTTTATTTTTAATTGTTTAATCATTTTTTGTTATAGTATACTCATTGGAATTGATAAGACTGTAAAAATCAGTGATTTTGGTACCTGCCGAGAATGGAATGAGATAAGTACAAAAATGAGCTTTGCTGGAACAGTTGCTTGGATGGCTCCTGAAATCATTCGTAATGAGGCATGTTCCGAAAAGGTTGATATATGGTATGTTGCCCAATCTTTGAATATGTATCTGAAATATTTTTTAAATTCAAAATTTGAAATTGTTAGTTATTTTATAAGTTTCATCCTAATTTTATAATATTGTTTTTCTTCTTATAATTATAACAATGGATTTTTTCTTTAAATATACATATAAATTCAAAAATGAAAATTTTCCTAATTAACGAGAAACTGTTTTTTTTTTTTTTGTTGTTTTAGCTTTTAGTATGAATTGAGAGAGGTCTGGTTGGCCCATGTGCCAGGTAAATTCATACGAAAAGCTCAAAAAAAAAAAAAACAACTAAAAAACACAGTTTCTCGTTAAATTTTCCTAATTATTATTTTGTATATTTTAAACAATTATCAATATTTATTTTCTTTATTTAGGTCATTTGGTGTAGTGTTGTGGGAATTATTAACATGTGAAACTCCTTACAAAGATGTAGATTCATCAGCTATTATTTGGGGTGTTGGTAGTGATTCTCTACAGCTTCCTATCCCATCATCTTGCCCCTATGGATTTAAACTGCTCTTGAAACAATGTTGGTCTGCTAAGCCAAGAAACAGACCTAGTTTCAAACAAATCCTCGCCCATCTAGAGATAGCGGCATCTGATGTCCTCATTAATTCCCCTGAAAAATACTTTAAGAATCAGGTAAAGAAATGTTTTTATTTTTATATGGCTGTTATGATTATAGCTTTACACAGATTAATTTCCTCTTGGTTAAGATACAAACAAATCCTTATTGAGTCCTTGAATTGGTGGTTGGGCCTTAAATACTTAAATCCACGGCGAACCCGTACATCCCACCCCAACGACTTTTATGGTGGTGACCAAGAGATTTTCCAACATAATTCTGGGAAGTGAACTGATTTGCTTATTGCAAAAAACACTTTGCAAATAGCAAATTTACAAACCATTATATATTAAATACTTATGTTAATAAAAAAAGAGAACTTATTTTTTGATCTGCAAAAAATGTTTCGAACTGAATTTAAACAATTTTATAAAAATAAAAATTAAACTAGATAAGTGCCGATAATTAAGGGATTGCTTTTTTAAACAGACATTCCCATCACAACATCACATTATTAAGGGTTGCCCTTTTTTTCCTCTTTCTCTAATCTAATATTCATTCATATATTTGTTAGTTTAAAATACTAGTGATAGTTTATCGTTTACTTTTTTATTTTAAGGTCTATTTGAATTTGTTTGTTTTGTTCTTTTTTAGGCTACCTGGAAGGAAGAAATTAGGAAAAAAATGATGAATATGGAGACTAATGAAAGTAAAATGTCAAGGTTTAATGAGGGAGAGCTTATTCAGAAGAGGAAAAATGAACTTAAACATGCTCAGGATATCAGAGAACATTATGAGGAAAAATTAAAGAGTGCTAGTAACCTTTATGATGAGCTAGCTATTGCTCTCAGACAGGTTGAGATAAGAGAAAAAGAGCTTAGAAAGTAATTTTTTATTTATTTTTTTAATTTAAGGTAAAATTTCTTTCACCAACAAGCTTAAGACCTAATTATATTAAAAGGCATTAAAAAGAATACAGTGAAACTTTCCATTGCGGACACTTCCCTATATTTGACTTTTCTCTATAGCTGACAAATTTATAACCTACATCTGGTTACAATAATTTTACAGTGTAATGTTATAAATGAAATCTCTATGACAAAGGGAGCCAGTGAGGTTTATGTTCTGAGAACATTAATCTGATTTATAGTATTGCCTTTCATGTTTAAAATCAAATATTATGAAATATAAATATAAATATGAAAACAATTAAATATATGAATATAATAATTCAAAAAGGTAAAAAAATATATACAATATCAAATAAATATTAATTATTTATATTTTATTAATGAGCTGAAATTACAACACATATGTAAAATGTCATAAGTGATATTCAGGACACAGTCATTTTTAAAGTTTTTATTAGTAATAAATTATACAAGCTAAAAAATAATGTATATAATCAATTTATAAAAAATGTAATATTTACTCTTACTAACCGTGTTTCGAGCATTGAAGATATTCAAGTGACTGGCACTTTGGTAGGTAAATAAAAGAGTCGGTGGAGGATTTTCCAGATGTGCTTTTAAGATAGCAAAGGTAGGTAAACAAAGTCAGAGGGGTTTAACATTTTTGTTTGAAATGTCGGCACTAATAAAAAGCCTTAAAAATGACTGCATCCTGACTATTTATCACCTATGATATGTAGAACAGTCGACTAACTTCCTTCAATAATTCGGATGTAAAATGATTATTAGGAATTCTATTGTAATAAGCAAAATGGTTCTAAACACAGATATCTTTAACACTTCTTAATCAAACTTAATAATGATTTCTCAAAGAGATTTAACATGGAATGATTATTTATAACTTGAATTGAAATTGACATGATATTAAATTATATAAAATCCTTCATGCATTAAATCTGCTTAATTTGCATAATAATGACTAATGAACAAAATAATACTTACAATTAGATAAAAATATATATATTTTGAATTCCTTCCGAAATCAGTGTGACAATGGTAGTCTTTTGATCTGGATATGATATGTCCCTCTAATGTCCATGATTCAAGCGAGAAGCCCAATGAGCATCCTATGCATAATTTTTAACTTAAAAATGCATTTATGTATTTTTTAAAAGTCAACATCTTATTTTGGAAATCAACTGCGTTGAACAAAAATGACTGACGAGTGATGTTATAGGAGGCCTTGAGCTAACATGGGTTGTAGAAAGAAGAAGAAGATCGTCTTTTTACAGAGTGTCAGCTTTTCATTTCTATTATCTCTTCATATGATGAGATGTTAATATCTCACTGTACAGTGATTTTGCTCTTAAAAGTGAGATTATAGTCTTAGCCTTTTGTTCAGTTAAATTCAAAGACAAATTAACGTAATTAATGAGTGTATATGTTAAACTATTCCCAATTTAGCCTCTTGATTAAAAATTAGAAAAACTAAAAATTAGTGTGTGACATTTAAAAGAAGGAAAAGAATAGTGTGGAGATGTTACTTTGAAAAAGTAATTTCCTAAAACAGCAAATTTTGTATAGATCAAATAGCATATTAATGATTTTGCTGAGCTCATAGACAGATGTGAGATGATAATTATATCGAGGCTCACTATTATCGTGGTGTTCCGCAAATGATCCCGTCTTAGTCCCACTTCTACTTCCATTTTCTGGAACATCTGTTCTGTATCTAATACTTTAACCCTCTTGAAAGCTTTGGACAAGTTTATGAAACAAACACACACTTCCCTTTTCCTCTCGATGTCCTTCTTAGAGATCTGTCTTAATGTAAATATCAGATCCTGACAACTTCTGTTATGCCTGAATCTGTATTGTGCGTCGTTAAGGAATGGTTTACTAGCTGTTCTGAGGCGTTTCTCTAGAATTTTAGAGTAAACTTTACTTCGGACGCTGTGGAGAGAGACACCCCTTTTTTATTATGGAAACTATTATTGATCTTTCACAGTCCTTGAGTACCTTCTTGTATTTCCATGTAAGGCCCAAAAGGAGGCCTGGAGTTTCAGAGAGGTTATAGCATCTAACTTCTTCCTCAGCAATGTAGTCCTCTTCCTACCAGTATTTAGGTTTAGAAAGGTTTTTAAATTAATAATTAAAACGGATCTCTCTCTCTCTCTCTCTATATATATATATATATATATATATATATATATATATATATATATATATATATATATATATATGTGTATGTGTGTGTGTGTGTGTGTGTGTAGTGGACAAATTTTGATTCCTCTTAAGTGTCCGCTAATGAGAAGTTTCACTGTATATCTCAAATGATATGTTATCTTGAATTAATGGTCAAGTTCTATACTCTGTTCAGAGATATGACCGACTGTCTTTTTTGGATAATGTTATTATGAACTATATTATTTTTAATCATTTGCAATTGTAAAATGGTAATCAAACTATTTACTTTAAAAAATTGGTGGATAGACAAATCTGTTTTTTCTTAATTGTTCTATAATTAAATAAACAAGCATTTTATTTTCTTAATATTCCACATAGTGAAATGTTAAAATTAAATTAAATGATATTTAACTTTATTTAAAATTCAAGAATAAATAAGTTCACAAACAAAATATCAATTATTTCTTCTACTAATTTAATGAGTTTTGTAGAATCCAATTATTTAAACAAAATCTAATAATAAGTATTTTATGAAATAATGACATTAAATGAAAAAAAAAATTTGTTTTTTAATGAAATAAACATGACAAACAATTATATTTTTAAGAAGAAATAAGCTACAGCAATGATTTTATTCATTGCTGAATGAAAACGTGCAAACTTATAAATTTCAGCTTTGCTTGACCTCATAGCTGCAGGAAAAATGGAACCTAAGAGGTTCTGCTGTTTAGAGTTATTTTTAAATATTTTTGTTTTTGTTTTTTTACAAAGGTGGGAAAAATCTACTAGTTATAAATTAGGGAAAAAACGTACTAGAATAAATGGAAAGACGCCAGAGAGATACAAAAAATATGATGATGACAGCTGCTATCCAACTACATGTTCTCAGATTTCAAGTCAAAGATCTCCAACATCACCAGTAAGATTTATTTATTTCTATTTCTAAAAAAAATATATCTGTATTTTTAGCCTTTTTAAATATATTTTTTATATTTTTTGACCCGATCTCTACCTTAAAGTGAGCTATTTGATAGGTATCCTTTAATATTTCTATAAAAAGAGATCAAATAACCAACCTACTTTGTAAAAGGTTGGCTAATTGTATTTCTATAACTGATTGTTAATGAATTGATTAATAATAAAAGAAATGTGTGGCTTGTACACTCTCACGACTTTTCTATGACAGACCATTCTGTGAGACATTCATTATTTAAGTTCATGTCCTCGTTGGCAAAAATAAAAATTTTAAAAAAGACTGCGTCCTGAATATTTATCACCCGTATTTAAGTTCAGGAGACCTAAAAAGCTGAATCTCTGTTACAAATTCAGATAAAATAAGTTCACAGACATTATAAAACTCTTAAATACAAGACAATGTAACGTTAACACCGATATAACAACAACTTTCTTCACTAAATATCTTCTTCTTAAAGAGAAAACTACAAACTAAAATTTAAATGATTCTATAATGGATTTATTCTGTTCTAATGGAATACTGGCTCTCTATCTCTAGATCACATTTCATCGTGTCTCAATCTTTCTAGATCTTTAGAGAATGAATTAAATTCAATTCCATTGAGTTTTTTTTATTTTTAATACTTTCGCTTTTTATAGCATTTGATATCAAAAACCATTATATTATTAGATTTAATCTTCTAAAAATTACTATTCTTCAAATTCAGTCAATCATTTTATTACTTTAAAATAAATATTATATCTATTAATTTTCAATAAATTTAAGTATAATCATTACAAAATATTTCTTGTATAATTAAGCGAAAGTAAAAATTTTTAGCCCATCTTGAGTACTTTTCTTACTACTTATTCAATTTATTCCAATTAAAATTCTTGTTAATTTATTTGTTTTATACTGTGGTATAATCAGTACGGTTGCCTTACTTCTTTCATCACTGGAAAGCAGAATTAGAATTAGTATGATTACTATATTTCTTTGATGGTTGATTATCCCAATAATGCCAATAATTATATTGTCGGTTAATTGTGGAAAGTTACTCAATAAGTAAACTTTTGATGGAGCTGAACTTTTAAGAACGTAATTATGAATTTCAACCTTATTTATTGATAAAATAACAGAGTGATTTTAGTGAACTGAAATGAAACAAATCATTTTATATATCATGCAATTACAATTTTCTAATTTCATAAAGAGAAAATTCATCAAAGTTCTTAGTAATTTAAGATTATTAAATATCACTGAATGACTTTTTACAATAAACCGACGATATACTCCTTCTTGTATGTAAATTATAATTACCATATTTCTATCTAATACATATGAACATTGGACATCAATAATGGGCTAAGTACCAAATAAGGAAAATTTAGTGTGACATTATACAATTTAAATATCATTGCCAATAACCTAAAAAGGTTAAATGCCATAATCATTAATAATTAATTAATTTATAATTGTGACATTTATCTCACATATTAGGCATTTTTTATTTATTTATTTTTTTTTGCTCTGACATAGGGGGGGTGCACCGCAGCCTCAAAAAGGCCTATTGTGCATCGTCCTAAACTCAGTTAAAACAGGCCTGATGCCTTCGCGAACCTAGTGATAGGATCAATCAGTTCACAGTGCTTGGGGTCAGTGATGCGATCACATCGAAAGTGAAAGTATTGCAGTCTAGCCAAATTATCACATTTATAAATAATGTGATAGGCCATTTCATCCTCCAAGCCACACAGCCTGCAGGTGGAGGCCTCACTTACACCCATATTGTAAAGATGCTTATTTAATTGACAGTGACCGGTATAAAGTTCTGTCACCCGCCTAATGGTATTCCTGTCCATTAGAAGGAGTGAATTGCTTCTTTTATGGCAGGGCCCTACTGCCAATAGCATTTAGTTTGCCTGAAGTTGTCTATCTCAGTTTTTTGGGTTTGGCAAAGCCTGTCATTGATGTTCAATCTTCACAAATGAAAATAGTTTTAAAATATAAACATTTTTTGTTTTTGAAACATTTTTTTTTTTTAGCTCTCTGTAAAATCATCTCTCTTTACTCAAATGAATGGCAATAAAGTTGAATCAGTTGCAATTCCTGTACCTTTCAGACCAAAACGAACTAAAGCTAGAAAAGCTAGCTTATTAACTGTGAAGAACGAATTTTCCGTAAGTATCAAAAATCAAATGAAAATTATTAAATCAAATGTATTAGCTATTAGCTCACTCCATGATGTTTGTTTTTAGGGTCTTAGTTCAGAAAGGGAAGAAGTTGATACTTGTGAAGAAATGCCTGCTTCAAAGAAGGAATATGTTAATTCTCAGACTCAGACTGATGATACAGCAATGGATATTAGTAATTGTAGCACTCCTGAAGCTATTAGTCCAATGGATAGCATAAATGGGAACTTACAACCTGTTATGACTAGTAGTCAAGAATATGAAGTAGTAAGTCATTTAAATATTAAAACTAATTATCACAGGTTAGTTTTTAAAAATGTTATTTCAACTGGCCATTTATTGCAAAATTTGTATTATTCTCTTTAGTAATATTTTGACATAAATGCCAGGTGTATTGTTTTATTAAATACAATCAATGCTTAATTTCATAAATATAAATCTTATTAGACGCTATAACTTTCTTTTTAATTACACTTAAAAATTCATTTTTTGAAAAGTCTCTAATAAAATATTAGTACTCCTTCATAGCTACAATTTAAAAATATATATATTTTAAATATTTACAGTTGCTTGATATTATTCTGATTTTGATTCACCTTCTTTATAGTTGATAATTATTTTTTAGCTGTTGAATATCAGTTTCTTAATTTTTTTTTTCAAACTTGTAATTCTTGTCCAGTCAAATTTGAATTTTGATTAGAAAAAGTTAAGTAAAGCTGGACATTGTTTTAATCTAATGTAATCTATCTCTGATTAGTAGAAGGAGCTAAGTTTTCTCTAATTTCTTTGGCGAGCTCCAAGTATATTAATAATTCAATAAAAATAAATCAATCCTTATTGAATTGATCATAAAAGTAATTATCTCACCAAATATAGAGCTTTAAATTCTGCAGTGAATGACTACTAAAACATATGAATATAATCAAGCGATATATCCATAGCAGGTGATGAAATAGTTATAGTTACTGAATTTTCAATTTTTTTCCAATTTGTTAACTTGGCATTTCTATAGCAATCTTAAAATCATTCTTATAAAAAATTATATGGAATAATAGTGTAGATAATCTAACCAGCCAAACCTTGTAAATAATCTAATGACTACCTCATTTTCAAAATTCAGTCAAGTGCTTTTCATTATTACCTACTTTTTCAAAAAGAGATTGAGTGATACCACAGTATAAAGCAATATCATTTCTTAATTTGAGTTATCTGTATTATAAATTATCATAGCCTCATCTTCTAACAGGCCTAGTGACTTCCAAATTAATTTACTTAAAACAAGATGAACCAAAACATGTGCCCTTAGGGCTCTTAAGTAATCATGACCATCATGGGATATATCACAGCTATAAGTTTTATATTGGTATAAAAAATTAGATAATTTAAATCAGTAATAGTAAAAAATCTATTTTGTGTCAGATTTATATTTTATGACATATTTGTGAAAGAACGAGACAAACAAAAAATTACAGATTTTTCTCAAAACGACAGTGCTTCTTGTGGTGTCAGGAATTGGAAAACTTAAGTTTTTCAATATTGGACCAATCCAAACAACATATCAAAAAATTGAAACTACACTATTTTTTTAACCATTATGACATCTTATATATAGGGCTTAGATGTTAGTATTGTTTTTGATAATTTATTTTTCTTTTACTTTTAGGTCAATAAATTGAAACTCGATCTGGAAGATGATCATCTGGAATCTCTAAAGCGTAAAGTTAGTGAAATTTTAATTAATGGAAATAGAATTGAAGACAGTTCTGATAGAGAAGATGATGATTTGCCTCATTCATGTGGCAATTTCAACCTTAGGAGGAAAAGGTAATTTTGAATTTCTTTCAATTTTTGTAGATCTGAGCACAATTTGGTGAAAATTTATCATCAATTATATACTTCCATTGCATATGTTTTATCTTTGAAATAGTGGTTGAACTAAAAATTTTTATAATGACCAAAAGTATTGTACAAATGCAAATTATACATGACCAGGTGAACAAATTTGCTAAGGTTTGGAAAATAAAATAGAAATAAGAATGATATTCTAATTTAAAAAGTAGAATCAGTATAAGAATTGACGATACTCTAAACCAGGGGTCTCCAACCGTTTTGTCCCACCGATCACATTGAGGCCTCCACTAAGTCCTGTGGGGCGCAGTAAGACCTCCACCTAAGTTCTGCGAGCCATGACTTGTGATGAAAAAAAAACATGTACTGTAAATAACACTTGATTTGATTTAATGAGCTTGCTAAGAGAAACAAAACATGCTATAAATGTTTTAATAACCTCTTGTGTGAGTAATTTGCTAAATTTCACATTTGTTAGATTGTTTTTAAAATTTTACCAAGCAATCAAAGAAACTTCACGGGCCAGATTGGCGGTGCTTACAGGCTCCACTGGCTGGATCTGGCCTATGGGCCGTAGCTTGGAGATCCCTACTTTAATCTTTCTAAATATATATATTTGTATTCACCATTTTGATCATTAATTGTTGTCATTTTAACATTAGATTTCAAATTCAATTTTTTAATATTAGAAATAATAACATAAATATTAATTTTTACTGTTATCAAGCCTTATAAAGTAGCAAATTCTGGTTTGTCTAGATGTTTTATTGATATCCTTCAATCAGTATAGTAAAAATTATAACTATTAATAACAAGTTCGCTCTGATGATAAAATAAACATTGTTATCCAGTATAAGTCGAAGGCCTATTGGTCCAGGATGCCGAATGAGAAGGTTTAAGCTACCCCAAGTTCTGCAATCTGATGAAGATAACACATCAGAGAGAAGTCACAGTAGGAGTTCTACACTGGAAAGCAATCCTCCTCCAATTAAGGTACATATAAATAAAGGTATATATCACTACTGTTAGTGCAAAAGGTTGTATGTAAAAATTGAGTTTTTTTTACAAAAGAGTATAAAAACTGATTATTTTCTTATGATTTATAAGTATTTCATATTTTATTTTCCTCGACTATTTTCCATAGTAGCAGATTACTTATTGCAGTTGAAGACTATAAAATGTTGAAAATAAAATTAAAATAAATGTAATGGTATAGAGATGATTGACCATGATTATGATATGAGAACGAGTTGGTCTCATTAGGACGTGTTATCAGGCACTGTAGGAAGCCGTTTGTAGACTGGGTTGGTATGCTGGTAATTTAAAGTAGTTGGTAGTTAGTAGGTTAGTAGGACCAGTCTCCAACTGCTTCTTACAGTGCCTGATACCAGGTCCTGATGAAGACCAACAAAGTGAGTCGAAACATCGGCGTAACCAACAAAATACTATTTTAATAAATAGTATTTATTTATTTTTAATGTTTTTTTGACTGAACATCCCAACCAAATTCTCTTCAATTATTTACTACAGTTAACCATCAATCCACTATTATAAAATGTTACCTTTAGCACAAGTCGAATAAACATGTAAAATTATTACATATGACCAATTGCAATTACAGCAGCGATATATGTTTATTTATTTAACTTTTGTAAGTAAAAAAAATTAAATTCTATATACAATTTTAACCATTGTGAAGTACAATCATGCATAATTTTTTTAAATTGTTTATGTCTATTATTTTTCATGAGGACAAATCATCATTTATCCCCTTTTGTTTTTTGTTTTTTAAGAAACCTTTCTCTTCCATATTAAAAATAAATTATTCATTAATTAAATTTCATCAACGAAGTTTTGAATCCCTAACCAATCCTCACGATTATTTTTCATTATAGTTGTATTTTTCTTATTATAAAATTGCAAATTCTCACTCTCTCTGTCATTTAGTATCCGTAATCCACAACAAATAGATGCAGTATGACAATTGAAATTATACTAATTTAAGTAACACTCCATAAACAATACAATTTTATTAAATTTTAAATTAACAAAAAAATATGAATAAATTATGGATACTACATGGAAAAAATAGTGTGATGTTGTAATTTTATAAACTAATTCTATACAAATGTTTTAATTCAATTGAGTTCATCCAAACTTTTTTTGAGAGATTTTTTTCTGCCTTATACACTCTTTACAAGTTTCACCATTATTTGAAGAACTACAACACAAATTCCTGGTTCATAATTAAAATAATTTTGTTGTTAAAGTATGATTTTCATATTATTTATAATTATTATATTCCTTAATTTTTACTGAAATTTTTTTTTTTTAATTAAAGACTTGTGGTCTCATTTTAAATTAAAACTCAGTTGATTTAAGTTTCCAATGTTTATCCAATACTAAAAGCAAGATCCTTTATAAAGTTATTATTCTATAATTGATTGTTAGCTAGTTCTAATAATTAAAAGGTCTATTGGATAAAAGATATAAGTGCATTTTTAGGAAATAAAGAATTATTGCTTATAATAAATATAGCGGTATAGTGATATATTATTAATATTTCTTCTTTCTATTCAAAAAAATTAAATATTTCTTCCATCACTGATTTGGTAAAGATGCCCATTGATAAACATAGGTTTTATAGCAGACATAGATAAGTTGAATTCAGTTTTATAAGAATTAAAAAAAATGTTTTTTGTCTCCTTTATACACTTGAACCTTTAATCTTAAGCTTATTTAAAAACCTATTATAAAAATAAATTTAGTTATTATATATTATTATTAATAACCAGAAAACCATTTAATTCTATTTTATTGTTTTATCTATAGAGGACAGGAAGTGCCCGGAGTTCAGAATCAGAATCTGATGATCTAAGTGAAATCACAGTGGCACCGCAACATCAAGTTGTAGCCTAATTGCCATCCCCAGCTGGATAAATTGACTGTTATTTTTTTAAGTAGGATTAAAGATCTTATTTGTACCTTATTTAGATATTATTTTCTATAAATCCCATTTTTTTGTTGTTTTTAGTATTAATGTTAGTAATGTTTCAGTTGTTAATTATATTTTGTAATATAATACTGGATGCATCATGTTCCATAAGACTGTGATCTTAACATTCCTGTTTATATTGTCAGAAAAACATAAGTTTTAGATATTATTTAATTTAATAGATATTGAACATTTAGTTAATGGAAGTGGTTAAGTAATAATATTTACACAATGTTTTTTTTTTATTTATATATGTAGATAAATAGAAAGTTCTCCAAGTTTATTGAGAAAGATAGGTCAAACTACTTCAAGACATCGCCAAAGATAAGCAATCACCTGAAAATTGCTCATGAAAGCGATCCAAATGTTTTTTATTTTGATTGTTTTCATTTTAAATTAGTAGAATTTATTGTGTTATTGGAGAGTTAAAAAACAAATTTATTTAAATATAACACCAACTATCAAGATGTACATGTGTATTTCTGATAGGTAGTAGGTATTTATTTATTTTTTAATTCTTCAATTAACTCTGATATTATTGTTTGAAATTTTTGATTAGTTTTTATGCAGAAGATATTAATTAGTCCATTAGCCACCACAGAATAATTAAACAAAGTCATTTCAAGTTCAAAATTAGTTAGTCTGAACTGAGATTGTTGTATAGCCATCTCAGATATAATGTTTTTGGTATTTTCTAAATTTTCTATTTATTATAATGTTTTTAATCAGTGACTTCTTGATTGTTAAACGAAGTTTACTCTGAAATTCATTAGTAGCTATAGTTTCCAAAATTGTTTCCCTTTTTTTTCCCATATTTATGTTGATTACATATCAAAAGACAGTTTAATTGTTTAATGGGAATAATTCTGGATATGTGTAAATTGTATATAACAATTTCCTTAATGGAAAAGTGTAAATATATGGATATGTTGTTATAAAAAGTATTCATTTAATGTAAATTTCAAAGCATCTTGTTATTGTCATTTAGTCCAGGATTTTTGGCATGCTGTGACCTACACAAAAAAAAATCGATTTTCCAAAATAATCAGTTAGTTTGGTCATGCAAGTTCGCACCACATAAAGATTCTGTAATTGGGAAATTAAGCTATCCATTAATTGTAAAAAAATATTTCTTGAGAAAGAAAACATAAATTTAATCTTTTAAAACATAAATTATAGACAATTTTATTTTTGTAAATAATTAAGTTATTTGCATGGACTTAGTAACCACTGTGAAAAACAGACTTGTCAAAAAATTCAGGACTATTTCTTAATGATTTCAATATTTGTTTGTTACTCAGTATTCATTTTGAGTACCTTCTCATTTATGATATTATAGTATTTATGAATTTTCTACAAAATAAATAAATTATGCCTGTAAGTAATAACTTCATTTATTTATCAATATCAAGAACTTAAGTTTTACATTACAGTTTTGTGATAAATAAAGCTATAAATAAGCATTGTGACCACCAGATGAACTGTATAATAGACAAATTATCATCATGAAAACAGACAATTTGATAGGCTCTGCCTATCTGTTGCTTAGTCCTAAATTTTATATAGTATAATTACTTCTTTCTTTTTTTTCATCTTATCTAGTATAATTACTTGGTGCAGAAGTAATGAATACTATTCTTGATTTATTTATTTTTTTAGTGTAATACTGTTTAACTCTCAATCCTTTAAACCATTACAAAATTTTATTGTAATACATTTGTAGTTCGTCCATCTTTGCACTGTTTTACTTTTATTAAAAACTAAGACTAGATTTCAGGCTTGTCATAGCCTGGTGTTACATCCAAAATAAGGTAATGCCAAATGTACCTGCATTCCAATAAAATGACAAATGTATTCTTTTGAATATTTAATTATAATTGTTATTCCTGAGTATATTTTGACTGGTAAGTCAAAAATCTAAATCTGTAAAATTGAGAAAATAAGCAGTATGTGCTTTCTTATGAAGTAAAGCATCAGTATTAGTAAGGTATAGTAATCAGCATTAATTATTGGATTGCATATTTTCATTGATTTAAAAAAATATATATTATTTATGTCTCTTTGCTAAAATTGGTCCAATCCAATTTTACTATTTTTTAATATTTATTTTCACTTTAAAGTTTAAATTTGTTGTCAGTATAATTATATTTTAAGTATCTCAATTTTCAATAGAGATATTTACTATTCGGATTATTTTATTATACCATACATAAAATGTAAACATTATTTTTGGCATGATGTCCAGGAAAACATTTCTTTGCATTGTAACTTTTTTCCTAAGGAATTTACTACCTATAAAAATTTAAAGGGCTATAGGAAAAAGTATTTAGTCAAGGTTCATCAAAATATTTAGTCCTTTTTTTTTTTACTAGTCTATAGAAAAACACAATTTTTGATTATTACAATCAGGATACTCAATCCAGTTTACAGGTATCAGAACCAAAACCCTTCAAAAGAAAATAACAAACAAAAGCGCCCCACCCCTTTTAGTAGTTAATTATGATAGAAAGAGACACACGGAAAGACCAATGGCTGAAAATGTGTTTTTCGGATTTTGTGTGCTCTAAATCATAAGTTCTTTTGAAAATTTCACATCAAAATTTTAGCTCGATTACAGTACTTCCATGACCTAGTAATGGTAAGAAAGTTAGAGTTTACTTTGCTGTTACCCCATATTTTGTACATTTCAATTGGTTAGGATTTATACAAAAAACACTTTATGAAAACAGATTGATTTCTCAATTGTTTATAACAAAACTTATAAATTTATAAACAACATGTATGATATTTAGATTGCAAATTTTAAATAATGAAAATGTTTCTTATTTTTGACTAATATCTAGAAATTAAAATGAATCTCGGAGGTGTAGCTTGGGACTACTGTAGCATGACATATACGGCTGCCAAATACCATGCTATCGAAGTGTCTCACTCCTCTAATTTATAAACACTAATAAAAAACATTTTACTCTAATTACTTTTACCTCAGAGATAACAGGGTAAGAGAAAAAAATAGAAATCTTTCTTGGATGGCAGTTATGATGCGGGAAATCCTAGTATAAGCTTACAAGTATAAGATAGTCAATAGTATGAGCTGGGTACTGACATGGGTGATGTAGCCATGTCTTCCGTGTTGTGACGTAGCTCCATCCCCACCACTTTGAACACTAATTATCTTTGCAAATATTCATCAGAAAATGTTTGTACTTTTTGCAATTTTAATGTCATTACCTAAACGACATCAACAAATTTTATGACATATGTATACTTGAGTGGCCATCATACCTTTTCCTTAATTAAAAATCTTTTAGAAAAAGGACTTCTTATTCCAACTAAAAAGAACCAACATAAGAACAGGATTACCTTCACCATGAAAAATAATTCAATCTTAAGAAAAGCATAACAAGAATGCTTTAATAATTTTAAAAGATAATGATAGTTAAAAATTTCAAAAGCAAATTGTTCTGTTAGATTTTTTATAAAAACAAAAAAAAACTCATTTCCTTATACATAAATGCAACTAGTGAGGGGTGCCCATCCTCCTAAAGTCGATGGTGTGAGAACCTATTCTCTCTCCTCCTCCCAAGATATTTTATTTTTTTTTAAAACCCATCAAAATATGCCCCCTCAAAAATTTTGATGGTGCAACTTGCGCCACGAAACCTCCTTATGGGCGCCCCTGCAACTATCTAATCCCTCATGTTCATCCTCCAACCATCTCTTCTTTGATCGCTCTTTTTTACACCTCTTAGTGTGTGAAAGTATACAACCTTTTTCTGCCACAATCTCCTGGTTTTCATTGTATGTAAGTGACTGGAACACATTGATCTTTGTATATCTATTGTGCGGGTTGTGTTCTCTTGTTATATTTGAGATGCTGGATCACTTTGTGTCAGCATAATTTCCAGCCATTTATTTGCAAGGATAATATAATTTTATCTTCTTTTTTTCACTTATAACCCATATTTCTTCACCTACAGACTAATATATTCTATAAAGTAATGGGATTTTTTTCATTCAGATATTTACACATTCATCGTAATAGACGGAATTAAATACCCATTACTTTATTTCTGTTAATGGTTTTTTTTTTGTTTTGTTTTTTTGCTATAAGTATAAGGGTTTCTACCATCTGCCCAATTATCTGATTATCTGATTACCCAAAGATAGAGTTTACATTGTTTGGTTAAATCACATCTACTCTGCCTATCTCAATTCAAGAACCCATGTTTCTTATTCCTTCGAGAAATTTCGCATTATGTAATTAATATCTAAGCTTATTCATTATTTGAATAACCTAGAACTTAAAATGAACCATTGAAAAATTGAGTAGCCATAATAATCGAGTATTAAGAACATTACTTTTCTATTTAGAGACACAAAGACGTATGTAGATTCTACACATTTATTTGGTACTGTTTCTTACAATAAGTATGTTGTAAATGCAAAAGATTAATAAATTATTCTGTAAGTAGGAAGAGGCCTAAATTTAATCAGTTCTATGGAACCATTCTCCAGATGATAAAATGTTGAGACATATAAATGAGAAATAGGTGACCATTACTAAGAATAGTACTTATATTATAACCATTTCAAAAGAATTTCAAGAAGTAAGTTAACAAAATAATAGAATAGTATGTTTGTGAAATTTTATTCTTCACAGATTTATCTAGAATCTAATGGAAATTATACTTATTAGTTCTTTCTTAATCCATCCTCGTCTACCGCTAAGCAGTGTGAAGCTTATTAATTATTAATATAAATAAAAACTTCAAAACAAGTCAATTGCTTGTTTATATGTTCCATAAAAAATAACCACTAAATATTAATATTCAAATAACTTTCTTGTAAACGTATAATGACAATATTAAAAAAAACAAACATAATAACATTGAAAATAGAATAATAATATTAAAATTATATGTAGCTAGGGGAAAAAAATGTAAATTTGACTATTTTATGTATTAAATATTTACATTACTACCTTTAAATATGATTTGATTCCTTTCACCTTACATAACCAAAAATTATATTTATTTATTTAAGAAAACAAAAATGAAAATTAATCAAGTTGTACAATATTCAAGTTCAAAATGTTTGAACAAGATTTTTGCATTAAAACATAGCCTTTGGATATTTTTATTTATAAATTACCATAAACAAAACGGAAGTAAAAATATTGAAAGATTTCGCCATTTGCATTATATAACTTAATATTTTAATATTATAATGTAATATAATGAAAAAAATTAATGAGAGTAATTCTATGAAAATGTTAATGATTTGTATTTATTATAAATACATAGAGTTTATTTTTCATCTAATGTGCATAACTCAGTAATTACTGATTACATAATGCGTATATATATGTTTATTTTATTTATTAGATTTATGACTTTTTAATAAAAAATAAATACTTGCCTCTAACCATTATCCTTACTCAGATGTCTCCTTAGATTATATAAAGACATATGATGAAAAATACAGAAAAGTAATTTAAGAGGAAACTACATCACTGCATACGTTTTTTTAGACCACCAGAATGATTCTCAAGCTTCCAAAAACTAGATGTTAACATAATTGATATTGCGATATTAGCCAAGAAATTCTGCTTCAATCAAAATTCTGAACTAACTGAGAGTTACTCACCATTAACTGCATATTAAATAACAGACTGGATATTAAATATGGCAGTTGATCTTGATATCAGTCAAATCACCTCCTAGCACAAGCAGTACTTCCTTACATATTACTGAACTCAAAACCCTCCAAGAGTTGAAATGGTCCTTAATTAAGAATCTTATTGTATAATTTTGGATTAGAAAACTTTCAATGAATGATTTTGAAACAAAATTAGATGAAAGAGGATTAAAGCTCATAATTGGCAAATGTAAATAAATCTATTTTTACATTAAATAGATTTTTGAAATTAAGTCAGAAAAAAAATAGGATACAATATAAAGAATGGTAATTTTCATTAAAAATGGTCAGCTCAAAGAGAAATGGTAGTTTGATTATAGGTAAGCAGTAAATTCCAAGGGACGAGGCATTTTAAATCTTGTCTTTATACTGTACTTCAATTTCACAGCTAAGAATATTGCTTCTAAGATTTTCAGCTGTACCATATGAGGTTTAAACCAATCAACATCAAAATTAATACAACCAAAATGTAGAATCAATTTGCATTTAGATTCAGAGTTCAGTGGGGAGAACATTGTCCAATAAATATGAGCAATGATTGAACATTAAACAAAGTGGTTATATTCCATAAGGTTGTGCACTAACACAACTTAATGATTTCAATTCTTTACTGAAAAACAAAATACATTTATTTTAATAGAAGCAGAGCACCTCTCTTACCTAAAACACAGCTCATCATTTGCTAATTATTCCTTAAGATATTCTTTTTTGAAGGTTTGAAGCTGATGCCACCAATACTTGTCTACCTCTCTCCACTGAACTTTGTCAAAACCTCAGTCCACAGGACCTGTCATAAAACAATCCTTCCTTTTTCAGCCAGGACTAACTTTTGGCATTATCTTATGATTCAGCATTAATAAGATTTTTCAGTGATTCCCAACCCAGCAACAACTAAATTGCCCATTTTATTCTGTCCATTTATTTCAATTTTAATTACTAAGTTCATCATCTGGATTTTTAAAAACTTTTTGTGGTTTCAATTGTTCTGTTTCCTTTGGTTCCAAGGCCAAATATCATATTGAGAACGTTGAACACATCAATACTAATAAAATGATGGAGCTGTAATAATATTTAAATAAAAAATTAACCAAGTGAAACTGATGAAGCCTCCACTTGATAGATTACTTTTAAGCGTAATCTACTTCACATCAATAAAAATTATGATATGATCATATCCTAACTATCAATTTCTTATAAGTAACTGCAGTAGATTAAATACATCTAACAAACGTAACAGTATTTATTCATTATACTTACCTAAATATTAATAGCCAAGCAATTCTTTTATTGTACCAATAACTCCAGTCTATATGTAGAAGGAAAATAATACATACATATATATATATATATATATATATATATATATATGTTGCTGTTAAGGCAGATAAATTCTGAGTAGTGCCAGACAAAAAACCTGTTTTATAAAGACTATGAGACCAAAACAGCTCCAATTATTTCGAAATAACAAATTGTCAACAGTGCTCTTAAATTATCCCTATATTAAGTAAATCCTCCAGAATAAGAAGGAAAACATTAATGAAGAAAAGAATAATTTATTTGCCACATAACCAGAAACAGATTTATTTTATATTCAATTATAAATATAATCTTTTGAAAGATATTTCTGTTTCTAAAAAACTAAAATAAACAATAATTGAAATTGTACCATTAAAACCAAGATAATGCCAACTGAGTTTTATAAAAATGATAAAGTTTATTATTTTCAATAGTGAATCTTTGCTATCGCCCATGCTTATTTTAAATTTATAAATAATTTGAAATAACAAAATAATATTTAATTTTGATAGAATTTCAACTACTAGGTGATCCTAGTAATTAAAATAAATCAATAAATATATCATTTCAGGAAGAAAATAATAAGAAAAGTATTCCATAGATAAATCATAATTTTATTTAATAAAAGTAAAACAATTTTTAAAATATTTTTTTCATAGGAAAGTTCCAAAAAAAAAAAAAAGTCTTAATAAATAAATATATATATATATATATATATATATATATATATATATATATATATAAACAAAACCTTATATAATTTAAGTTTATAATTAATATAAATATATACATTTTCAAACTTTTAACAAACATGATTTTATTTACAGTTATACAGTTTCTTTTTAACTCCTCTTGGCTGGTACCATTGGTAGGTAGACCACAATTACAATGACAACTGGAGAGTGAACTCTTGTAGCTTTAAGTAACTAAGATTTTGTTTTTCCTTATACCAACAATATATTCACAAACATATACACAAATTGAAAGTTGATATCGTAATCTTCTATTTATTTATGTACTAGTAAATATTTGGTGAGCAATATCAATCAGAGGATTAGAGAAAAAACAAAATGTTACCTTCAACTCAGTATTGCACGACTTCCCCATCAGTCAGCGAATTAATTGCAATCAGAATATAACATCATACTATCAGCTAAATATAGCTAACAACTGATATGAACTGGTATACCTATTGGCAGTTCATAAATAAACTAACTAAGATACCATCATGATTATTACAAAATATTTTATTGTTATAATTATCATTGATAAATATGAAATCAATTAGAATAATAATTTATCCTAACCAATGACATTATGAAACAAAAATTATTTTAAAAACCAATAACTTTTACTTCAATGTTTAGTCTTTACAATACAGCTAGAGCAATAATCTTAATTAACAGTCAAGAATTTGATCCTCATCTCCACCTAACGCATTCCAGTAAGCCAAAACTAGTTGCTCTGCATATGCCTTCCTTTCATTACTGGGCATAATGGAAGCCCTTTCCTTCATTGATGCGAGTTGGCTAAAAAGTTCACAAAATTCAACATTTTCCCTGTCACAGATATCTTCTAAACTAGGTTCAATATTATCTTCCCCAGGTATATAAGATGCAGCATCAAAATCCAATCCAGTACTTCTGCATACACCCCCATTTAAAAGGTTAGCCATGCATGTTGGTTCTTTACGGTTCTTTAAAATTAAATTAGGCCAAATGTGTGCTTCTAATGCTTGACAAACTCTTTTTATGCCTGTAGCTTCAGGAAAATCATCAGAGTCACATTCATCATCAACATCTGTAACAGGATCAAGTTCAACTAACTCAAACTCTTCTTTCAGGCAAAATTCCTGAACTTGAAGCTTATTAATGCCTTTTTCAGATTTCTCTTTACATTGAGCACAAACCAAAATTTTTATATCAGGTTGGTATTCTTTCAACAGAACTAACCATTCATCAACTACCTTTAAGCTATTGGGTTGTTCACTATCAAAATAAAGGACAACACCCTGAACAGAATCAGCAAATCCAGGAGTGCTTATAATCTTGGATTGCATTGAGCAAAGCTGAATATCTGCTTTATAGTACTTGCTATCTATATGCCAAGGGTAACTAACAATTCCTTTTTCCAATTCATCAGCTTCAGGAAGTTCACCTATCATTAATTTTATCAAATCAGTAGGAGAGTCCTGTGTACATGAAGCAAATAATACTGATGGTTTCATTTTTATTAGTTTATATTAAAAACAGTAAACCTTAGACTTTGGTAAGAAATGTATTTCCTAAAAAAAATAACAAAAAAAAGTAATAATATTTATATTTTATAAACAATAATAGATTAATACTATTAAAGAACGTAACATTGTTAGAAAAAAAATAATGAATTGAATACTTTCTACTCACAGTGTTTTTCACACAGTGTCAATTTGAAACTATTGACAAATATAAACTTCAAAGACAGGTGGAGATAGAACTTGATCACCATTTAATTATTCGATTTTTCATTTAACAAACTAAGTATCCATACAATTCTCGTCGTATTAGTGATCAAATTCTTTTTTTTAAATTATCTTTTTCAAAACAAAAATAGTGTACATGATAGTACATAAATTAATTTTATAAATGAATAGTGCTGCCATCTAGTGTAAGCAGGGTGAAATTCATTCAGCTGATTAGTTCTAAAAATACGTAAAGATGTAAACGATGGATTTCAAAACGAAATTGAAGTGTATTTCCATATAATCATATAACCAAAGTTTAACTATAATGCCAGGCTTTCGCCAAAAGTTTGTAGGGTTTATCAGGCAGTTCTCCAATCCTGCTGAAACCAGAAATTGTGAACAAAAGGAGCCAACCCCTTCTTCTGGTTGCTTTGTGCAGAAATATTTAAATGGGTAAAATTTGTTTAAATGCATTTGACTATTGTTTATCAAGGACAGGATGATTAAGTTAATTTGTCAACAGGCAACCAAATGATCGTGTTGAGCCCAAAATCATTCATGGAAGAACACCTCAGCAATTGCCTCCTAAAGCCATTGGTTCTGTATCAGACAATATCATTTCAGCAATAACAGGTCCAAATGGTGGTTTGACAACAGTTAATAAGAAAAGAAGACATCTGTCAATTAGTGATCCTGATGTTCGATTTGCTGATGAAGATACTTCTTCAGGTGGGAATTGGTTCTATATTCGTCAATTACCTTTATTTATGTCATATGGGGAAACAATTAGATAATTAAAATTTAAGCAACTATTCCTCAAATTAAATAGTAAAATCTCTTTCCTTTTTATCATTGGCATCACAATACTTTCTCTCTTAGTAAAAAGTTTATTGTACTGATACTTATCATAGATCAGGAACATAAAATTGTCTATTTTAATATTTATTTCAAGCGAAAAGTTTAGTTTTGACAAACCGCTGACCAAATTTTGATAAGTTTCAAACTGTTATCTATCTCTCTCTCTCTCTCTCTCTCTCTCTCTCTCTCTATATATATATATATATATATATATATATATATATATATATATATATATATATATATATATATATATAAGGAGTGAACTTGATAAATTAAATATTAAAAAAATTAAATTTAAATATTTGAAAAAAAAAGTCTGAAGAGATTTTTTTTCATCTTTTAGATATGGGAATATGAAGGTTGTTATACTTTACCCAAAATATGTTTTTGAAATGGACCCCCTAGATTTTCTCCTAAAAATCAGTGTGCTTTTTATAGAAAATTGAAAACTAAAAATATTTTAAGAATTGGATGATCATCAAATATCCCAACATTGAAGAGAAAGAAAATCCCACTCGATAGAGTATCCTATGCTCACGAAAGAAAAATGAAAACAATATATGGGTGTCCAAAGAAACCAGACTTACTTGTTCTGTGTTTGGTATATTACTTTGTCGTCCCAAGTTTTAAAATATACTATACCATCATAAATTTTAATAAAAAGCTTGTTTAAGTAGTTTTCTATACTTTTTAGTTTTTTTTAGTGCTTTAGTTAACCCAGTTGAATGATGTATGTACAATTATCTTTGTCTTTTTTTTAAATCCTTTTTTTTTTTTTGTTTTATTCCTTGAGGTTTTGTTAATGTTCTTAAACATTTTAAGAAAATAAAAAATTTAAAAAAAAATTGGTGGAAGAACTAATGCCTTTATATGTTTAATTGGTACTTCAAGGGGTTAATTAGAGGTTTAATTTAATCCGTTTTTGCTAATTCTGTTAGTAACCTGAAGATTACTTCCCTGTACTGATTAGAATATCGAGACAAATTTTGTGGTCTTGCCTTGAAATAAACATTAATTAACGGAGGAGGAAATCAATACCACTTCATTCTGAACCAGAAGCTTTGGTTCCCTCGCCCTATGTTCAACCATTATGGTCTCCCTTGTGAATCATAATATTACTACTACTAGTTTTGTCTTATTTCTTTTCATCAGTACACATATTTCCTAATCTTTATCTTTTTAATCTAATCTATTTATTTATGCTGAGATATTTTATAATTGATTTTAGGTAATTGTCACATATTTTCTCGCTTATAATGAGATCATTTTACTTATTTTGAGATTAATGAAGCCAATATAAATACATCTTGTTTAAATTATGATAAGTAGCTGTACTGTAGTAAAGAGAAATCAATGTATGTGTGTGCTAGTATATAATATTCATGTATTGTTTCAAAACATTGTTTTTCTCTTAAACAACTTGTATCAAATATGAGAAAAATATGTGGATTCATTCATAGAAAGAATATAAAATAAATTGAATGACTGAAAGTTCAAAGGTAGCTTCAACCCGTCGGGTTCGACTGATATCTGCCACTATTTATAGTCTTAACACTGATAATTCTGATAAGGCTCTAATAACATCTTCGTATTCATATTTATTGTATTGTATTCATAATATTGAAATCGTATACAAAAACAAATGTAAGATTAAAAAAATACTTTTATTTTACACGTTATATATTAAATAGACCAAAACATTATACATATATAATGTAAAAACATTACAACATATAGGCTACATCACAACATATAGGTACATAGGTAACTGTATGTATAATAATAAATATAGACAAAAATAAATGAAACAATAAAAAAACACTTAAACATCATATATACATATAAAAGAAATACTATGAAGACTATAAAGAACATATGTACTTATAAATGAAACAACATAAAGACTAGTAGCAAAATATGTACATAAAAACCAATTTTATTTTAACTTTATTTATTTTGTTAGGGAAAATAGTTTTATGCTATTTAAAATAGTGAGGAATGGGTCCTGTGAGCCCGCCGCCACAAAAGCTCACATAAATATGAATCTTTATTTATTTTTTATTTTTTCCCTACCTCGCCATTTAGGCTAACGGGATTCTCCGGGCCGGAGGGTGAGGGCGGGGAATTTAAAAAGGGACGCGAACTCGTACTTATTTTTGTCTCTCAAAACTTCATATATCTGGTTGCCGGGCAACTCGCGGTGCTGTGCACACACTTTAGCCCATTCGGCCATCCCGCCCCCTTATAAATATGAATCGAGGTTTTGTCTGGCAGTTCCTCTATTTTTTTTTCATTTCTCCACTTAGCTGAGCCCCATAATCATTCTATGTGTTGCGTGTGGACCACTTAATGGATCAACAAAATTATTGCGTTGATTCACCTGGAAATGATTATACTTTGCTTCATTGAGTTGTTTGGTGTTGTGTCCTTTCCAACAGTCAGAATAAATGGTGCTTCCCTCTTGTATATTGTTTTTAATACCTTCTAATAAAGTTGTTGCCTTTCTGTTGTTTATTTTAATGATAAAACACTCGTCTGTCTTTCTGGAGACAGCAATTCGAACAATGTAACAACATCCATAATTTTATGAAAATAACACTAACTCACAGCTTACACGAGGAACAAAAAATAAACAATGGAATAACTTAGGTTAGAGGAGATAAGAAGGGAGGTTATGTGATATAAGATTAGATAACAAGGGATGTTTCGACCCAAACCGCTATTTAAGGAGTACCTAATTTCCTAATCCAGCACTATAGTAATTCATTATACTATAATGAATTTCTAACAAGTGGGCTAACGCGTGTGGACAGTACCACCGTTGCCTGGCAACCTGATATATGATAAATGATATAAAAATTAGTCACGAGTTCGCGTCCCGGTGCCAAGGCGTCTTTTAAATCCCCTTCCACACTCCCTGGCCCGGGAAAACCCCTTATAGCCTTAACTACGTTTATTATATACTAGCTTGGTAAATTCTTGTAAACTATGTTGAATGCTTTAATAGATGTCTAATTAAACTTGACTGAAAATTAAGTAATTAGATATCAATACCATATTATATTTTTTTATGATTTAAGGTGGAAAAGATGCCAATAGTAACACATCTACTGTGAATTGTAATTTGATTGATCCACCTTCAGAATTTGGAAGCCCAGTACCTTTGCAGAAATGTGAAAGCACTCCAAATGCTTGTAGCCCATTGCGCAATGAACCAGTTGCTGGAGTTCTCAATTGGGATTGCCCTACTCCAAGGTATACAGAGTAATTCTTTTCTCCATCAGTTTTATTAATTAATTATTCGCTTATACTTTTTTAAATGTATTATTTTTGATTTCATTTAAAATTTTGTTACTCGATAATTTTGTTAATTTAGAGCTTATGGGAAGTCATTAACTTTATATGAACGACATCCAGTCACTGGTATTCCTGCAGGGGAACCTATAGCTGATTGCTTTGCTCTTGTTGCTAGACCGAATTCTGCAATTCTCTGTCTTGCAGATGGAGTTAATTGGGGTTACAAAGCCAGCTTAGCAGCTAAAGCTGCTGTACATGGTTGTGTAGATTATCTCAATCAAACAATCCATACTTTATCTACTACCTCTGTAAGTTTTTCATTCAATTATTTATTCTTCTGTTTTTGAAATATTTCCTAATCCATTTCTTATATTTAACAAACAAAAATGTTCTGAAGTTTTATTTTGACCATTCTATATGGTTTTTGAAATCAGTAGAATTCAAATAATTTTTATAGTCAAGCATCTAATAATTAACCATGATTTATCAATATATTCAAGTTGTCATTATTAACGATAATCAAGGGGAAAATTAAGCATAATTAGATTGATTCAAAATTGAATTAACACATAAAACTTTATTTGGATTTTAATAATACAGCTTATATGAGAAGGAGTTGATCGGGGGGGTGCTGTCAAATTTGACCCCCAGATCAACTCCTTCTCATATTATATCAACGGTCAACCATCTCTACATCAATACAGCTAATAGGAGAAAGGGCGATATCTGAATTAATCGCTATTCTTCTTCTCTATTAAATTCGCTGATTTTAATGTTGGAACCCAAAAATATACACTTTTGAAAACAAAAAAATATCTCCAATATTAACAACCAAAACAATAATTATCTCCTTATTACCAAAAAAAAACAATGATTAAATATAAAAAAGTTTAATAATTAAATTATATTAAATAAATATTGTTAAAAAATAAAACAAAAACAAAACTAAATGAGAGCAAAGAATATCTTTCACTAAAAAAAATGACTTATAAAATGATAAATTTATATTAAAAAAAAAATTAAAATAAAATGAACTTCATGAAATCTTGATTCATGTGATTTAATTTTAAATGTTAATCCAGTCTCTAAATGAATAAATGGAAATGTACATCCTTAGTTTTCGTAGCTTCCTGCTGATCAGAATGTTTCAGGTCGCCTTGGCGATGTTTTCTTACATATATGTTCAGAGGCCGGGCCCGGTGAGGTTGGCTGTATGCCGTAGTTCTTCAATTAGAAGCTATCATAATAAAATGTCCTTTTAACAATTATCGATGAACTATACACCGTGATGCCTGGACGAGAAGTGAGGCTAAATGTTTATAGATGGCTCTTCTTTTTTGTAACAAATGATGCCTGCGAACAGTGCAGCAATAAATATCGCAACAAAGCCCTTTACTTCAAAACATTTTCATTTCTATCCATCATATACTCTGAGTTAACGTAACTCGTCTTTTCACAAATAACCAACATACTCACACTTTCTCCATTTTTGTTTTTAATTTTTTACTATTCCTCTTTTCAAACCTATCGGGCTAGCTATCATTCATGCAAAAGTTAATTTGAATTGGAAATAAACCAATCAAGATTCTTTGAAGTGATTAAGATGAAAGAATCACGATTCACCAGGAATCGGTTGATTCTCAATAAGGCCGCTAGAACGCTCTCTCATAGCTCCCTAAATTTTTCACTGATGCTTACTGGGTTTGTGTTCCATTTTTTGCTGGGTTGTTTTGTTTACTTTCAGCATCTACTCTTTCATGATCTTTTCTCACTTCAGACATTTATAACCTATGCTTATTTACATTACTATTTTGTTTATCTTATTTTTTTCTCTTGTACTTATATTTTTAATTACCTATGTTTTGTAGATGTTTAATTCAATGTATGGTCACACTGTTATGTTTAATTTATTTTGTATTTATAATTTGTTCTAAAGAAACATCCTTTTATAAAATTTGTCCTAAGGCAATAAAATTGTTTTTCATTTCATTTACAATTTACAAACACATACCAAAATCTAATGTATAAAATTAAAACAACTTTTCGTTTCCAATTTGAACTTCCTTCCTACTTTAAGATCCATAACTTTTAATTTGTATATATTGGAACCAGGACATTAAATTTCAATCAGTAAAAAAATTATGTTTTTGCCTGAATAACTAAAAGCTTTGAGAATCATTACTATTTTTTTCTCAATAAAAATTTTCTTTTTAATTTAAAGAAAAAAAAGAAGATGAAAAGAATCAATCGAAGAATCGTTCATAAGAATCAATATACCTCCCATAATGATTGAATGATTGTGAATCAATTCTGTTAAAATAATCGAAATTCCCATGTCTAGGCTGGGTTCCTGTACACTTTTTATTTTTACATTATAAGACATTTACATTAATTAGACGTTGAAATTAAACACAAATTACCAATATGACTAGAACTTGTTTTTATACAAATGAACAGGATATTTCCTTTGGAATGGAAAACTCTTATGATATATATTTTTAATACACATAATTTTAGGACTTTAATTATTTTTGTCTTATCTAGGATGCCTTTGTATCTCTTCTTCGATCTTTTCATGCTGCTCATAATCTTATCCTTGAGGAAGATGGCATGTTGACTACCCTTACAACTGTCCTTGTTTTACCTCTAGTCGCACCTCAAAGGTACATTGCGTGTGCTTGTAATGTTGGTGATAGTTTGGCATATGTTTACAGCCCCAAACATGGAGTACGTGAAATTACTCAAGGTGAGTGGATATTTGTAGTTATTAATTTTAAAATTGCCCTCTAGCCAGATAAACAAAACAACACAGTTATATTGTGTTACATTTAAATAAAAATAAAATTTAATAACCCAAGCATGGAGAAAAAAAAAAAAAAAATTTTTGTTCATTATTTTAAAATCAACCATCAATATGGAAAATGTGACTAACATAAATAAACATAATTCTATTGAGAGTTTGCCTTAAATTAAAAAAAAAAAAAATTGAACCTTTAGCTAACTGTTGTTAAGTACTTCACCTGAACTGATATTGTTTTTATTATAGCCAATATTAAATATGTTCGAAATAGTAGCAGAACAGTAAACAAATTATCTCTACCATCTTCATATCTCTATCAGACTTTTGTCTCCTTCTTTTTATTTCTTTATTAAAAACAACACTCTTATTAAAGATTAAAAAAATGTATTCAAAGAAATAAAACTGTGCACCAAATCTAATTATTTCAAATATAATAACTACTACTATTAAAAATTATATAATTTTTTTAAAATAAGTAGATTTATATCAATTAATCTAAGTGAAATTTAGTTTTAGAAAGTAATGTCCACACAAATCAAAAAAATGCTAAGTCAGTATAATGTCAAGGATGAAGGTGGAACTGTTACCATAGCTTTATTTTTTATAAATATTATTTCTAATAATTTACTATGTGATTAATTACTTTCAGGTTCTCATGATGTGCATCGAATGAGAGATATGAGAGATGCTCTTGGAGCCCTAGGACCAGTGGATGGAACAAATCCTGAACTTGCAAATCTTACTTGTGCCATGACAGAAGTTGATCCTGGAGATATAGTGTTTGTTACTTCTGATGGGGTGTCTGATAACCTTGACCCAGTGGTTGGAAAATTTGCTGGTAATTTAAAATTTATCTTCAAATATATCTATGATTCAAAGACTTGAAAATTGCAAGTAATCAATATGTAGGATAAAGCCACCAATTATTGACACTTTAACAAAATGTTTCAAGTAATTTACATTAATGTTTTTTATTAATTAACCTATCTGTATGTTTCAAAGTTTTTCTTACTAGTCCCAAGTCTATTCTACAGATTCTGCTTATATAATGGCCAAAATACTATGAAGTTTTCAAGTCTAATTAAGGCCAAAACCGCTGACAAGTTTTTCACCAATTTTTGACATGCATTTATCAATTATCGACAGAGAAAGGAACCAGTTATTGATACCATATTTAACCATCAAACGAGTTTATTTTGAACTTAATATTTGTTATTATTTGTACAAAATTATCACACATTAGTATATCAACACTTTAAAACTTATTATCCATACCTAGATATCACAAGATGGTATGAGAAAGGAAACTATCTACTTTAGTAGAGAGGTATACTTTGGTACATTTCAATCAATATTTAGAGTATAAGAAAATAGAACGCTTCGATTTTGATTATACTCTAACATTAGAGGCTTCAGCAATTTGGTAACTATGTTTCGACCTTTGACTTCTCACGTTTCTCAACCTCGTTAAGTTGTAAAACATTCTTCAGTCTGTTGTGAGCTCTGAGAGGATTTGCAGCAACTTTTCCTTATGAAACCCTGAAAACTCGACAAGCCTTGATTGCATTTTTCCTGTTGGTAACTATTGTGGCTGTGATGAAGTCACTCTTATTTATTGCCCGATCTGTGTCCATTTCTGCCGAAATTTCAATTTCTTTCATGTTTTTCTGTCCATGGCCTTCTTCAATGTTCTTCTATTTATATCCTTCTGTTTATGTCCTTGTTTCTTACCCTTCTGTTCATATCCAACTTTCTGTTCATATAATATATAATGTCATATATAATGTCTAGTATCCTAACCACCTGTTATGTTAACTCCCAATCCCTTCCTGCTTATTACAATGAATTCCTGCGGTACTTCACTCATAGCTTTCTATCATATTATCGCGATATCCTAAACCTGGTCAAAACTTAAAGTCTATCCTCTTCTCTTCTAGCTACAACCTCCTCTGCCAAGACTAGGTCAACTGGATTGGCAGTGGTGTAGTTATCTTTGTCCTTGGTAGCCTAGAGTCTCGGTTCCTTGATTACTCTCCATTTTCCGACCATCCCCAAGTTGAGTACCTTACCGTTAAAAATTCTTGCAATACTTCTACACTCCTTTATGCAATATAATAATAGTATATCATCCTCCTCTTGTTCCATATGATCCTCCTTTTGTATCAATATTGTTCCTCTCTACTCTTGAATAATTATTTCTGGTGACCTAAATACCAATCTCCTTTCAGATACTAATGATAAATCCTACCTGGAAAGCCTATTTTTCTCGCTTCATCTCTTCATCGTCCTCTTTTCCCTCACTCACCACAGAATATCCTCTCCTCCTCTCAACTGCCAATATCGTTTTTTATCATCTTATGACCTGATTCAAATATCCTATAATATCCAAACTCCTCTGATTCAGCTTAGAACATGTGAAAAAATTCTACCTGATCTTGAATCCTTAGACTGGAATGAAATTGATTGCTCTTCCATTGACTCCATGGTTAATATTCTTACTTCCAATCTTCTCAGTATTCTTAATATTCATGCCCCTATAAAAACCTCTTCTTTTCATCAATGGTCTGCATCTTGGATGTGTCAAGAAATTTAAGATCTGCAAGAAGAGACGTAATGTGCCCATAGATGCTTTAGAAGAACTATACTTGCAGATGACTTCCAAGTGTTTAGGTTGCTGTGCAACTTGAAACAATCAAGGATCCAACAAGCTAGATCCTCTTACTTCCATAAAGTCCTCTCATCCTCCTAATATCAAAACTAAATGGTCATTCCTTCACAAACTTTCCGTTTGTGAACCATCTAAATTCCCAACCTCACTAACCTTTCCAGTATCATCTAATGATTTAAACTCACATTTTATATCTGCTGCCTCCAACTCTTCCCAGGCATCTCTTTCCAGTTTCTTTTCTGAGACATAATTTTATGACTTATACTTTCCTACATTTTTCCCACAGATCTTTTGTCCACTGTAATGAAATTGCACAGGTCCAGATGGCTTTTCTGTAAAATTAATATAATTATGTCTCCCTGAAATCCTTCCAGTTTGTGTTTTCATTTACAATTTCTCGCTACAGAACTCAGTATTTCCTACCTCTTGGAAAAAAGCCATTATCCTTTCTTTAAATAAAAAGTCTAATCCATCCTCTCCCAAAGATTTCCATCCAATCTCAATCCTTTTCATTCCTTCAATACCTCTGGCAAGACTAGTGCAATCCCAAGTTTCCAACTTTCTTGAAGAATCCAACCGACTCGATCCTCTCCAATCTGGTTTCCGCTCTGGGGTTACTGCACGCAATCAACCCTAATTAAAATTATCATTGATGTCCAGGCTGCTATTGACAAAAAAAAATTTAACTGTCTTTGTTCTCCTTGACTTCTCCAAAGCCCTTGACTCTATCAACCATTCAATCCTCTTTTCAAATCATTATCCTTCTCCAACAATTCCATCTCACGGTTTCTATCTCACATAGAAGTTATCTTTCTTACTTTGAGTGAGATACTTTATTAATTGAAACAACTGATTAATTTTAGAGTTGGGAAACCCTCCTATACCCAGCCTATAGTGAATACCATAAATCTCCTTATTACTTTTGATTTGAACAAGTTCAGCTATTGTCTGATATGGGTCTTCATTCAGTAATTTCTCCAATTCTTCATCTTCAAACTTTTTCGGTGCACCAGAGTGTTCTTTATCTCCAAGATTAAAAACGTTATTTTTGAAACACAAAGCAGTTTATATGTTGTTTTTGACAGAGCATGTTAGCTGTATGTCTCATCAAGAATTCTGTGTACTTTAACTGCAGATCTTATGACCAAAATGGTGCAATAAAATTCCCCACAAATACTCTTTACTTGGCACAAAACTCGGAATTTTTATGACTGAAAAAAAAATGCTGAGGCGAACTAACATGTACTGAAATCCAAGCTTACTGACAGTAATTCTTGTAAAATTTTGTTACCATTTGAAATAAGATGCACATGGTACTGGTGCTGCCATCTGTTAGGAAACAGCAAGAACTTATTCAAGATTCTAATACCAGTGAAATAATATTCTAGGACCCTACTTGTACCTACTGCTAAAATTGTTCCCAGGACAACTCGTGATCACTACTAAAATATCTAAAATGATTAGTAATCACAAAACCTAAAAATCAGAATAAAAAATATCATATCTAATTTAAGTCAAAAGAAGAAAGACAGAAATAAGTGTGTACTTTCTTGTTTAGAAATGGTTGTTATGAGGCCAGGCCAATGGTTGTTTAAGGAGGTGATTTGATTGAGATCACACTCAACCTTTAGGTTTTTCCCCGATTAAGGTTAGTTTATAGATACTGGATTTATCCTAGTTGTCCTAGAAGGGAGCTCCAGATCAGAAACCTGATCTATGGCTGATATAACAGAATAATAAGAGAAGTAACCTTAATAATGACCTACAGCAACTAGAATTAAATCGTTACTCAAGAGATAAGAACATGGTGTTTTATTCACGGAGCCACTCCCCATATATATATCTAGTACTCATAACTTCTTACCCATTTATATTATAAGTAAGATATACCTATTTAATAAATGTTGTATTCTTTAATATTTGATTATGTAACTCACATAACTGTTACTTGGTGATACCTCGGTAGAACATTAAGTTTTTCCTAAATTAGCTATGCTTTAATTTATTTCTAGGTTTGAGTGGGGTTGAGGCTGAAGAAAGGCATCGACTTGGACTTCTGAGAACCGACGACCTCCTCAAGAATGGTGTTACTGGTAAAGGCCCTCCTTGTAGATCTGCTCGTGAACTTGTTGATCTTATAATGGATTTTGTTACAAGGTTAACATCAGCTAAGAGGAGGCTTCTTGAAGATAAAGAACTATATACTGACAAGGGCCCTATGCAGCAAGCTAAAAGAAGGCAAATTTGTGGGAAACTAGCTGCTGTACCGGGAAAACTTGACCATGCAACAATCGTTGCTTACGTTGTTGGAGATATTTCAAGCTACTGAGAATTAATTATTAGAGCAAGACAATATTATATCTAATATTGTTTATTCACTCCATATGATTTTTGTAAGCAATTATGCTTTTAGATGTGTTTTTTAAATGTTAATATTGTATATACCACTGCCAAAGACATTGAGGTTAATTGTATTGATCTGTATGTAACATTTAGCTCAATTTTATCCAGTCATTCTGTAGATTAAAGATCATAAATCATTGATTGTCAGAAGAGTCTTATAGAAGGAGGTAATTATTATTTTATTTTAGGTTTTTGGTCTTGCACATATTTAAATATTAGAAACATTTTTAGCTCTCTTAACTAGTCTTAGTTTCTCAAGGAGAATAAATTTAATTTTGGGTTTATGTTGTTTATCTGAAGTTGATGCCGCCAGTATTCATTGTTAGCTGGATTTATATATGTATATTGTTTTTAGAAATTATTTATTGATTTATTAGAAAATTTACTTCTAAAGCTATGGTCAAAGTGTCACCAATATCAAACAGTTTGGCTTATGATAAAAATCAGCCATTCTTTTTAAATAAGTCTTGATTTTTCGTACAATGCCATTCACCACACATCGACTGATTAGCTCTTTTTTTTTTTTTTTTTTTTTTTAATGCTGAATAGATCTACTTAATATAATTACTATAGAGTTGTATATAAAAAGGAAAGGTGGGTGGGTATGAACTGTTAAAATCAGTGTGTATTCTCTCTGCCAGCAATTCCTTAGGCTTTGAACCATTCCATTTTTTAATCTACATTATTAACAAGCTAGCAATAAGTTAGTGGTGAACATAACTGGGTTTGTGAAATTATTATAACAATGGATACCTTGGAAATGTTCTAAAACAAAGTCGTAGTAGGGCCCATAGGTCATTGTCCTACAGGTCTCAATATAATATAGATGCTGTCCAATTTTAATGATTAATATCAATGCCAGTAGATCACTTCTCAAATGGTAGGTCAATTCATGGATTTCATGAATGACTAAAGAAATGTTATCATTGAAAAATTATTTATAAATTTCTTTTTAACTTTTTAAATATTATTTTAGTTTTACTTTCTATTTTTCCTTCTCTATCTGATATACAGAGATTGAACATTATAATATTTCAGCATATTTAAGTATGATTTAGTATCATGTACAACTTGATATGTTATTATTTTTTTACTTATTACTAAGTAAGAATAATTTATCTTTGCAAATAGGTAAGCATTAGTGGTGGGGTGTTTAGTAGCAATCTTTTTAATTTAAAAAGTTTCTTTCATTAAACAGGTACAGTAAACTGTTTGTTTACTCCAGATTAAACAGATACAGTAAACTGTTTGTTTACCCCAGATTAAACAGATACAATGATGGCGCAGTTTCTTACAATCAGTGCTGAACTCATAAATGGCATGGAATAGGTCTCCAAAATGACCAAAATTAAGCCATCAGTGAACTCAGCGGTGAGTTTAGGAACTTACCCAAGCTATCTCACTTTCAGGTTTAGTAAGTGGAGACAGTGATACCGATGGGAAAAGAGGGAAACACTGAATCTTTTTAATTTAAACAGCTTTTAGAAACAGATACAGAAGCTGTTTAATTTAAACAGCTTTCCAAAACAGATACAGAAGGTGTTTAATTTAAACAGTTTTATCTACTCATTTCTTATCTAATTACTATTTTCTTGTTATTTTCATCAATAAATTTACTAATTATCTTTAAAATATGTTATGATATGGGATTAATTTAACAATTAAATCGATAATTACTTTGGAGATTAAAATTATATTTCTATCTTTTTTAAGTAGTGTAAAGGTAGCAGAAGACAATTCTTTTTTTTTTTGCTCTCCAAATTTTGAAACAGTTATCTGTTTTTTTTAAAACTGTTATTTGAAAGTAGCAGGAACTGTTGCAACTGCTACTCATAATAAACAGCCCACCACTAGTAAGCATGATTTCAAAAATTGTTATTTGTTAATTAAAACATAGAGTTGTTGGTAGTTGTTTAGTATTTTTTTTTTAAATTTTACAATACGCTTCACAAAAGTTCTTGTTTTCAGAAAAATACTGTGCCTTAAATGAAGGTTATCACCAGTGTTTTTACAGCATCAGGTATTCTATCACGGTTATTTTAGTTTTTGTAGTATTCTTTTAGTAAAGTCTACTATTGTTTTATTGTAGTATTTCTAATTTTTTTTAATATGTTCAATTCAATTGTATTCTGCGTGTCCAAGAAGACTTGTCAAGAGAGCTAGTTAGCATTTTCTTTTTTTTTTAACCAGTCTTCTTATTAATTTGTTTATAATATCTTGAAATGTTTTGATTTATGAAGTAAACTCGATGCCATTAATAAATTATTGTTTTAAAATGAAGTCGCTTATTGAACATCAAATATAGCTATTAAGTATTTGAATAACGCTTTGCTATGGAATTATGATAAACTATAATCTATCAGGATTTTTAGTTTTTAATTTGTAGACTCTCCCTGATTATTTTATTAATATTATTACAAATAATTTTTCAAATAAGTGATTGAGTAAGACACTGTTTTTTTATGATATTTATCAAAATGGAAATTGAGTATTATATTTTAAATTATCTGAACAATAAAACAACAATTAAAGTATTGACAAATTTAGTAAAATATAAAAAGAAACATAAAAGTAGGTAAATGTGAAAGTACTAAAAACAATATAATTCGAGGACTTAGGAGATTGATATTTTTGATAAGTAACTCCATTTTTTTTTTTTTCTTTGAGGAAACATTTTGATGATTTTAGACCAGGGGTCTCCAAATTACACCCTGCGAACATTTCTGTGAATACTTGGCAACATTTATTTAAAACATATGAAATTTATTAAATAACTCGAAACACGAGGTTACTGCAACATTTATTGCATTAGTTGTTTCTCTTAGGAAGCTCATTTCACTGCTGAAGTGTCATTTATAGAAAAATATATTTTTTTCATTACAAGCCATGGCCCATTGGACTTGTTGGAAGTCTCAATCTGGCCCATGAGCCAAAATGTTGAGAGAATCCCATTACCAATGTATGTATTCATGTGCTTATGAAATTATCTATATAAATAATTGAATAGAATCAACCCGTTTTATGATATCTTTCTGTTTCATACATTGCAGACACCAAATCCACTTTTAAAAAAAATTTTGTCTGTCTGTATGTCCGCATTGTCCAACGAAATTTTGTCGGGGGTAAGCTCAGCAATGGCTAATGGTAGACTTTTGAAATTTTAACATTATAGTAAGGTTTGGAAACCTCATACTTGGAATCCTCATACTAGACTGAAACGACAAGAAACCGCTCGATGTTTCTGATTACTTCAGCACTTACTAGACAAACGCTCTAAAGTTCCCATTAATTACAAAAGACTCATATACTTGACCTATTTGGACCTATAAGACCTATTTGGTCTTACGGCGTTGAGCTATGGGGCTCCACTAAACCATCGAATTCCTCTCTCATCCAATCCTTACAATCCAAAATCCTCAATGCTCCTTACTTTGTCACTAATAAAATTATCCTTAATGATCTTAATGTTCCTCATGTTTCAGATCTGGCCCAATCCAGATACCTATCCTTCCATAATAAACTTTAGAATCATCCCAACCCTCTCGTTTCTAACCTTGCTTCCTCTTCAATTCCTGATAACCCCCCCTCTCCCCGAGGCGTCTGAAATTATCTATATAAATAATTGAATAGAATTAACCCGTTTTATGATATCTTTCTGTTTCATACATTGCAGACACCAAATCCACCTTTAAAAAAATTTTTGTTTGTCTGTATGTCCGCATTGTCCAACGAAATTTTGTCGGGGGTAAGCTCAGCAGTGGCTAATGGTAGACTTTTGAAATTTTAACATTATAGTAAGATTTGCTTGACTTAAAACCATAGGCTTTAAATGAAAACAAAATATTGAGTATAACCAAAGTTATGAATTCTTGACTAATTTGTCTAGAGATCTCGGTTAATGTTGATATTAAATATTAATAATAAACATAAATAATAAATATAAATATAAATAATAAACATATGTTTATAGGTTAAAGAACATCTATATAAATAAAATAAAGGTTTTGTCTGTACATTGAATAAAAGCAACCCGTTTCATGATATCTTTCCGTTTTATACATTACAGACACCAAATCCACTTTTAAAAAAAATTTTGTCTGTCTGTATGTCTGCATTGTCCAACGAAATTTTGTCGGGGGTAAGCTCGGCAATGGCTAATGGTAGACTTTTGAAATTTTGACATTATCTTTAAGTTTGCTTGGCTTAAAATATAGGCTTTAAATGAAAACAAAATATTGAGTAGAACCAAAGTTATAAATTCTTGAGTAATTTGTTTAGAGATCCTGGTTAGACAGTTACTTTGATTCTAATCCCAACCAACTCTACTGCGAGCCACATTTAAAAGTTGTATTACTCAACTGATGGAAAAAATTATCACAACTCAACGGGAAAAAATCCGAAATCCCGAACATCTGTAACGCGTTATCACATAAAACGGGTAAAACACACTCATTTTTCAACTTTGTCCGATCTTTCGCTTAACAAATGTTGTCGTTTACATTTTTAGGATTAACCAAATGGATTAATCGGAAATCAGGAAAAAAAAAAATCAAAAAATTTCACCCCATCCGCCACAATATTCAGATCAAGTTCTAATTTTATGCGGGTATAGATGACTCAATGTCCGATGTTATTTTTCTAGCGATAAACCCAGCATAGCTTAAAGAAGTGGAGAGACTACAAGTCTTTTTGATTAATTAATCAACTCCGCAATCTCCTCGCTTCATCATAAATGAAAATTAAATACTTAACAAATTTTAATGGTTCGGTGGTGGTCGGTTTAGTTGTGTGGTACCTAAACAAATAGCCGAATAACAAAGTTTTTATTATGACTATTGCGAAACCTTGACTTCCATAAGCCCCGCCATAAAAAATTTCAAAACAACCCCCATCTCCCCCCTGTTGACCCAATTTTATGAAATTGAATTTAGACCCTCCTATTCCCAATATACAAAATCCATCTCAAAAAAAGATTCTCAAATTTTAACTATAAACCCGTCAACGAGAGGTACATCAGCTAGTTTATTTCTAAATAATATGATTATTCATTTATATTTCTTTTTTCATAATTAAATAACAATATTATTAATTTTATAAAGTTTTATTATTTAATTAATGTTTAATAAATTTATTATTAAACATTAATAGATGATTCTAAGATTAAAGATCATTTTAAACCATCAAATTAAAAAAAAGATAAATTACTCAATAAACCTGCATTTAAATTTTTGTTTTTATATTAGTAATTACAGTTCAGTTATGGTAATAAATTTTTATCATTCAAAGTAGTACTAAGAGGAAATACAAAATGTGATATAGAATCGTCGATAACTTTCAAAATATAGCTCTAAGAAGTAAATCATTTTAAGCATTTAATAAATTAGCAATAAAGAATTATTGTAATGGCAAACAGAAATTAAGTATCCATTTTTTTATAGCTATTGTTTCATCAAAATGTTCCTTTTAAATTATTTCCTTTCAGTATTGATTTAATTTTTAATGAGTCTACAAACATTAAATATGTCTTATTTACTTAGACTAACAGTAAATAAAAGTATAAAAAATAACTATTAAAAAAAAAAATTGAATTATCATTACAAAAGTATGCATGAATTTTAGTCCCAATGTGAGTGCCGGTGAAGAGGCTCCTCTCTGTATAATAAAATTATATGTTAGGGAGAGTTTACTTTAATTTTATATAACACAATTATTCTAGCTATGTAGTATTGTTGGTTGTTATTTTTTTTTTAAATGTTTTATTGTTAGATTTGTAGGGCTTTTATTACAAAATTTTAATTAGCTAAAGTAAGTACGCATATAGTAATTATTTTTATATTGATGAGGGCTGTGGGAATTGACTTTAATTCAGGAATGTAGTATTACT